TTAGATCTTCTTATATTTAATAAAAGTTTACTTAAGTTTTATTTTTATTATTCATGTTCTATCAACATTATTTTAAGACAAAATTTTATAAAACATCTATTCTAAAATATAATGCTGTCAAAGATCAAAAAGGCGCCATCGACGGAGAGATAAAAGACTAAGGGCGGCTTGCGCATCGTCGTTAAATACAGTTTAAGAGCGACTTAAACGCATTTAGTCTGCTAATTTTAATTAGCGTCTTGCACAACAAAAATTTAGGCACTAATCACGTTTAACGAACTGTCAAAGTTAAATACCCAAAGATGGCTATTTAGCGTCGCTAAATACGTTTAGTAGCAATAACGCGTCATTATTTTGAGGTTATAGAAATTTTACTATTATTTTATAAAAGATTGTAAAGAGTTCGTTAGGAAGTTTGTAAGATGTATTTGTGGGAATTGTATTCTGACGAAGATGAGGAGATTGTAGAATATATCAACTGACCGAGGGAATTGTTTGAGAGAGCAGACTTATTTGGAATGTATTCGAACGACAAATTCTTCAGAAGGATTCGTCTAACGAAAGAAACCAGTATAATTTTGTTCCAGCAAATAGCCCCACATTTACAAATCACAACAACACAATTTGTGTGACTTGACAACTCGGTTGACTTGATGTGACAGTTGAAAGCTCCTCGGTCCATTTCACGCATTTTTTTTTTTAAGAAATGCAACCATTTTGCTCTAAGTCAAGTGTTCAACGCACATAAAACGTAAAAAGGAACGCAAGAAACTGCTTTACCGACTCCCTAACTACGATTAGTTAAATTAGCATCCAAACGGACGTGAGCAAGAACTTTTTAATTGTATTTAGGCTAAACATATTTAGCAAGATAAACGCATTTAACTAAATTCTGTTTAGACCAAATGTTGCGCAAGCCGCCCTAAAATTAGAGCCAATTAACAATTGTTTTAATTATAAATTTTAGGTCATTTAATGAGATTTCAGTATCAAATGATATACATCTGATACTGAAATCTATGATTACATGTATTATTTTTACAGTCAACTAATATTTCACACATCTCACGTCCTTGATAAATCCTTATGATAATGCGTCTAAAAATAATTTAAGTATGTTACAGAAATCATGTTATCTACCTAATGTAATGTCACCTAACACATTTTAATATCAAATTTATTTCATAAGTAAATTTTTATTCGTTTACTCGTTAGTGACATCGGTAAGATTTCGCGAAAAAAATAGCTTTGAAATGAATGATGTATACACATATCTGAAGTTAACTTAGATAACTTTATCAATAACCACCTTTTAAAAAAAATGCCAGATGTTTTTGTCTAAAATCTGGCTAAAATATCCTGCCGTTTTTTTAATGAAACTTGCACTGCACGTATCACTCCAACGTCATTCGAGACCGATCAAGAAACAAGAATAAGGAACAAGAGTTTGCGGTGACGCTTCTAACCACAGCAGTATTTACCTTCGTATACTGCCTGTCTAATATGTACCTCATCATTCCATACACGTCACTAACACGCGGCGCCATCTTACACTGTTGCGGGAATAACAAAAACTACGACGAGAGAGCAGAAAAGTAATCGATATTCAATCGTGAGACAACAAAATACAATATATCGTCCTCAATATACGATCAACAAGGGACTTTAACTCAAGATAAACAAAAAGTAATTTGCTGTACCGTTATATTCCATTTTAATAAATATAGCTTCTAAAATTGTATCGCCTCCGCCCCCTACGAAGTGTAGATGTTATTAGTATACATTAAAGTCCTACTCTATCTAGTGGATGGTACAGTGTGAGGGTGTCGGATGCGTTGTGGACGGCACACGGGGGCCAGTACAGTATAGTACAGTGCAGTACAGCACAGTACAGGACAGTACAGCGGGAGGATGGGTACAGCTGTGCAACACAAACCTGGACAACGACTAACTCAACAACAACGTAACGTTAAACACATCTCAAACTAAACGAAACAAACAAATTAGTCAAACTAAAATAAATATTAAACAAATCAATTTAACTCAAATCTAAGTGAAGAAAACAATTCTTTGCAGTGGTCTTTCTCTCGTTTTTCTTAATAACGTTCACCGATAAGTCGGGACGGACAGATTATGCCTGCAAAGAATTGTACGAGAATGATGAATGAATGATCACCTAACCGGCACACGGATACGTCCCTGAGGTCACAGACTAGGCGCGATCTCGAGGGCGGCTCACGGGGAACGCGCGGAGATCGGGAGCCATATAAAAATTATTGAAGCCGACCGGCGGCCCGGGGGGCGGGACGATCGCTCACATGCGCAGGAGGATATGGTCAGGTTCAATATTTTTTTTTACGACTCGTACACAGACAAGAAACGGGAAGCGTTTTTATAATTTTAAAAATAATTTTAAAAAGTCCTTTGAAATTTTTATGGTCATGGATACATGAGTGATAGCCATTTATGGGATCGCTCCCGTGCAACTCGTACGTTAGCCACCCGGCCCACCGTTCATCGAGGCACCACTCACTCACACGTGCAGAGCGATTCCGTAAAGCTCGAAGCCCGAATTCGAATTCACTTCTGTGTCCGAACTCACGTCATTAAGTGTAGCAATTCTATTGACTTTATTTTTTGGATAAAAATACAAAACAAGATTGATTGATATTCTATGCTTATGTTATTTTGAAACTCACTTCACCATGTCACTTTCGAAGTGAACTTGGACACCTGAGTGAATTCAAATTCGGGTTTAGATTTTAACAGAATCGAAGGGCTAAACGAAACTTTTTTGAACTTTTCTATTTTAGACGTTATACGAACGCACTCGATTATCGAAACTAGTCTTGTAAAATTACCAAAATATCGGGGCCTGGATACGGGATCGAACTCGTATTTATAGAAATCATCAATTTTTTATGTTAATCGAAACGCTCCCTCGTTTCTTGTTTAAAAACTATTCAAAAATATTCTGTTTACTTAATTCAACGTCAAGAGAACGCCACCTAAGGCGATATCATATACGACGTTCGATGGTCGGCAACATCGATCGTTTCTTAAGTGGCATTGCCTTATTTAATTTGATATAAGTTCAAATCAAACATGATACAGTGTAGTATAGTGTAGTGTAGTGCAGTGTAGTGTACTCACGCCTCGACCAGGGGCCCGGGGTAGGGGTCGAGGTGCGTGTAGAGGGCCGCCAGCCGCCGCGCCACCGCCATCAGCGGCACGAACAGCGCCAGGCACCACCACAGCGACACCCAGTACCCGTTCTGGAACGCGACGCGCACACTATATACACTCCCCACACTCTCCACACTGTCTACACTAGAGGGTGCCCCCACTAACGCTGGACGTTCTTATCGGTCGAAACAATAAATTATCGTGGTACCCTCCGTTTCTCCGAGAAATGTTATATTTCTATTCAGATACTCATTAAAAAATCTTAATTTGAATTCAAATTCATTCATTCGGCGCATGCACAAAGGAGACTTAAATATAATAATTTATCACATAACTACATATCATAATGTACATTAGATTAAACGTACAATCACAAGCAGTAAGAAATTCAACATTAAAATAATATTGTAAGCTCGGCATTTGTCGGTCTATTTAATTTTCAGAAACAGACCGACGCTGATTTTCTAACGTATTCACCACACGGAGGCAGGGGTGCAAGATAAATCTATCGAGAAGTCTGCCAGGATACCTATAATCCTCGTAAATTGCTAATGCGCTCGGCCGCCATTTCGATGACGTTCGAAATCCAGGAGCGTTAACAAATAAACACTGGGTGAGTATCGTACATATAAAGAGTAGAACAAAGCACAGCACCGACCGTGGGCATGAGTATCTTGCGGCAGACGGCGTCCCTGGTGGCGTTGAGGGCGCGCGACAGCGGCCCGCACCCCCCCACCCGCCGCCGCGCCCCGCCCCCCGCGCGCGCCGCGTACCGCTCCACCAGCGACGAGACCACGCCCACGAACTCGCGGCTCATCTGCACGCAAACACTCGTTCAAGTGCACTGGTCGAGGGGCTCACCGATTACATATCTGATACGTCAGATACTTGCGTTCTTTACGAGTTCCGGGCCCTGCGTGTTGAGATACTGCTCCGCCTGCGACGTCTCGTACATCAGGTACGAGATGGCTTCCTTCAGCGACGTGTGATTGAATCGCAGGCCGTCCCGCAGCTTCGTCGCCGTCGTCTGAAATCAAAATAAATCGTAGGAAATTCATACATTCATGCCGCGGAGCGGGTCCGCCAGATCGGGCACACAGATCTATGCCCGTGCGTTCCGTACTAACCTGCAGCGCGGCGGTGTCCTGCAGCAGCGGCAGCAGCGTGTCGCGCTGCAGACGGTCGAGCTGCCCGGCGGCGGCGCGCAGGTCGGCGGCCACTCGCCCGTAGCCGGCGCGCTGCTGCAGCGCGTCCGCCGTGTGCTGCAGCTGCCGCGCCAGCGCGTCCAGCGACAGCGACGTCATGTTGCTCTCCAGCGCCTGCAGGATGCGGTCGAACTGGAACTCCGACAGCCCCGCCTCCGCCAGCCGCCGCAGCGCCGCGCGCGCCGACGGCCGCAGGATCACCACCTGCGCGGCCGCGCGATCGGTTAACACGTTCTCGTTCGCCCTGACGTGGACGACCTCCGACGTCGCCGTACCTGTCCGCGGGGGCTCCAGGTGGGCGTGAGGGCCTCCGCTCGCGCCTGCAGCTGCCGGCGCGCCCGCCCCACCACCGCGTCCACGTCGTACACGCGCCACAGCTGCAGCGCCTGCCGCCGGGACACATCACAACGTATCAACACCCACACCCTACGAACGTCCTCCCCCTCTTTTCATCTGCCCTATAATCTATATCTTTGCCCTCGATTCAGCGTTCTTTCCCTATCTTCGAATCGATGGTGCATGCGTATGCATCCGTTTACTTGACGACGATTTGAAACAAAACATAGACAAAAATGAGCTCATCGGGAGGGAGTCTACCGTTGCGATCTTTGATGGTAACATAGAAAAATTAAATCGTTTAGTTCGACCGGTGTTGCCATAGAATTGATTTAATTGACAATAATTTTTATTGAACCGATGAGATATAAATTAATTGATTTTTATTGTATAAATTTTAAATTCATTAAATTTTATTTTGTTTTTAATTGATTGAATTTTAGTCTTATGTAATTTGTTATTGCTTTATTTTGAGATGTATTCAATATAATAAGTTATATTTAATGTATTTCTTAAAATAGTTACAACTGTTTTATTGTTAATTGATTTATTTTTATTGTTAGATTGTTCTATTTTAATATATAATATACTTATATAGGTCAAATTAAGACAATATTATACTTCATGTGATATAATATTTAGCCGCTTAGATCACATAATGCGAACCATTACTTTTGTTTTATTAATATAATTAATGTATATAATAATAATTCATTTATTTAGCAACCACACAATATAGAAATATCAAATTGAATGAATACATAAACACACATCGTGGCTCTAAAAAGGTATCCATTCAGCATAGTGCCGAGATGTCATTTAGATACCTCGACGCTGATCTTCCATGGACACTATAATAACTATTACTTGTTATGTGATGTAATAAAAATAAATAAATGCTGAACTATCGTTTGCTTTCTATTATTTATAACACATCACTACAATCTCTGATGTTTTTCCTTTTTTATTATTATTATTATTTTGATTGATAGAATAGACGCGATTTCCTTTTCTTATATATAGACGTGAGTGTACCTCGTATATGGTGTAGTTCTGGTGGCAGCGCACCAGGATGGCGCTCAGGTTGAAGCTGGGGTCGGATCGTTCGTTGTAGAGCATCTTCTCCACCTCCACGAACCGGTCCACGTCCTCGAACAGACGGTTGCCGCGAGGCTCCCTGCAACAACAATCATCGAATCTATGCCACATGTTAGAAATTGAAAAATGTATTGAGTTATCCTTTCACGCCTGTGGTTTCATTTGGAGATAGTTAGAAAATCACAATTATTTCTCTTTGACCACAAGATTTTTGTTTAGATTCCAAGTAGACGGTAACAGTCATTGTACAATCAACGACTCATTGAAGTAGAGATCAAAATCCATTGTGGAAATTTTCCCATATTGTGTGTCTGTAATCTAACATGCAATATATTATGAAATATTTTTTCGCACACATACACACGATTTATATTGCAGATGTTTAAATACCGAATCTGACTATCGAGAGTCGCAAGTAACCCTCTGACGTATAAGAAAATGTATATTCTCCTAAATCTAGACAGTTATGATACCTTCGTTTACAGTAACGGATTAACGAGGACTCGTAAAATGTATAATTTGTTTATGGCAAAATTCGTATTAACACTCAATACTCAATAGCTATATGTTATTGTATCCATAGGTAATATATAATCATTAGTTAAAGTAGTATCATGTTTCATCCCTAATTATGAATGTGACGTAATGTAATGTATTTACACGAGTGGGTCGCAGAAGAACCGCTGCGCCGTGATGCCAGCCAGGAAGTACACGAGCGCGACGGCCGCCACGCACCCGCCCACCACGAACATGCAGCCCGTGCCGCTGCAACACATATGCACGTGTAGTGTAGTCTAGCATAGTCTAGTCTAGTGTAGTGTAGTGTAGTGTAGTGTATTGTTACCACAGCAGCCAGGTGGCGCCGGCGCCCTTGTTGCAGCAGTCGCTGGCGCCGTACACGTCGGGCCGCTTGCCGCACACGCCGCACGTCACGCCCAGCGCCAGCAAGCACGTCATCTGCACAGGAGCACATCGCATCACCCCTCCTCGTCCAGGTGGGCGTACGGCACAGGTATATGTACATACAGTACAGGCGCATACGTACCGCCAGCAGCGCGGTGGCGGCGCCGAGGCCCAGGTACCGGCGGTAGGGCCCGTACTTGTCGTAGAGCTGCTGCAGCGCGTCCGCCACGTCCTCGCGCCGCCGCAGCTCCTCGCTGGCGTTGCCCGCCATCGCGCTGATGTCGTCCGCCACGCGCTCCAGCCGACGCCCTGCGGAACGTATCCAGCGTGCATATGTCGAGATCTGCCCGGACATATCGCGATCCGCCGCCGCTTCTTTGTTTGAGCAGGAAAATCACGATCGGCCCGGTTAATTTGTCCTCGATTTCAACTTCTTTTTCTTTGCTTACATACAGAGATGGGCGGTAGGAATAAACCCAGGTTGTTGCCCATATCTGCTTAGATAGTACTTTTGTCACCCTACAAAATCGATCGGCCTGACCTGAGTATAATCGGGCAAATCGTCATTGAACTATATGGCGGATGATAGATGGCCAAATCAGCGATTGGCCCACGACCTATATATAGGATGCGTTGCCGTGTGTGTGTAGTGTAGTGCGAAGTGTGTAATGCACAGACCAGTGTCGGCCAGCGCCGCCTGCACGCCGGGTATGTTCTCGTCCAGCGAGCGCTGTATGGCGCGCTGTATGTCGCGGAACACTCGCTGGCCGTCCGCCACCTCCTCCTTGATGTTCCCCTCCAGCAGCTGCGTCACGTTCGACAACAGCTCCGACACGTCCGGCATCTGACCGACACATACACGCATTTCATTCAAACTTCTCTTCTCGGCGCTGGATACTCTATGTAGACGACGAATGACTGCTATAATAGGGTCATCACTCTACCGACTGAGCTCTCATCATAGCAAGTGACCCGATTTTAACTATTTTAAGAATTGACATGGACTTTGGACGTCCCGGCCGTCGATTTAATTGTTAATTTTGCCATTACGCGGCATTTTAAAAACCAAATTTTTTTTTGCCTCAGTGTTAATTAGAACACCTCGAAATGCCGAATGGCCAAAAAGAGAGCAGCGGCAGAAACCGGATCTTTTGGTCTATATCGTGGTGAAAAAAAAAAACATGTTTTCAAACTAAAAACTGGTAATGAAAAATAACGTGATCACGTCGATATTACAGTAAAATATTTACAAATATACAATAATGTAGCATCAGTATAGTTGCGTTACGTTACGTACGTTGATAACGATAGTGTGACACAATGCAAAAAATGCGATTTTGAGTAATGTGCGTGTAAAGTTCAAGTAATTGTAATCGGCCCCTCTAAACAACGTATCGTCAGTACGCCACCTAGCAGTTTCTATGCAAGATACGTTCACAGGGATCATTGCATTTTAAAATTTATTGTCATCAAAAAAATACAAATGAATTTATTTAACTGAAAAATATTTTAATACGGGAACCGAAAATATATAGGTACACATATATTTATGTTCCGGTAGTGATAAATATACTATTAGTACTATTGCCGATAGTCACATTTTTATGCTTATTATATTTACAATATTGCTTAAATTAATTATGTAAAATCAAATATTTTATGCTTGTCGGCCTTCATACTCATATCAGAACTTAGTTAATTCAATGAGAACGATATTCGCATCAGAGGGCCATGACGTCATGGCGAGTACATGACAGAAGAATATATATTTTTTAATTTTAAATTATTATATGAATGATATTTTTTTAGATATATCTCATGAAAATTTATAAAATATATAAAAACAAATTGTCTACACCCCTATAATTCTAATATTGCCTAACATTTATTTACATAGTTATTAAAACAATGGTCGCTGTGTACTTACGGTTGGGAAATATTTATCGAGCATCTATCCCGAGTCGGCGTGCAATCACAGAAAAGTGAATTATATATATATCGGAGTGCGATGGAAAAAATATAAAAATAAAGATTTACAAAGACACAGGGTGATATAATGTACATTTTCAAAATTATTAGCGATAATCACATAATATGCAAACTATACAAGTTGCACCATTTAGAACGGTCGTGTGTCATAAATGTCAGTGACAAGAAAAACTGTACGCGCACCTGGTTGTACTGTATCTCGGTGTCGAGCTGCCCGATCTTGTACTTCTCCTGCAGCCGCACGCACGGCGGCTGCTCGCACTGCGCCAGCGTCTGCAGCAGCTGACCCTTCACCTTGCGCAGCCCTGGACGCGACAACGTACGAGTTGATAAAAGATTCTCTAGCGCTCGAACAGTTCTTAGAAGGCTAGCCGTGGAGAACAACACCGGCGTGCGTACCTGCGTTGAGGGTATCGGCCTGCGCGCGCAGGCGGTCGGTGAGCGCGTGCACGGTGGTGAGGTCGCGGTGCACGTCGTCCAGCCGCGCCACCAGCGTGGCCAGCGCCGACACCGCCACGCCGCGCGACAGCGCGCCCAGCTGCACCGACACGGCCACGCCCGAACCTGCACACCACAGTGCACCGGTATATATACTGTGCGCCAGTGCGGCAACGGCTCATGAGATGAGACGTCGACTCACTGGTGAGCAGGCCGTTGACCTTCATCTCGAGCTCGCGGTAGTTGTCGGTGAGCAGGTGCCTCGCGTGCGCCTGCGTGGCGTTGAGGAACTCGCGCGCGTCCCTGAGGCCGACGCGCACCGCCTCCGGGGCCTCGCTCGCGCTGCTCTCCAGCTGCGAGTCTGTGGCGAACGCGCACACCACGCCGAACCTGGCCGACACGATATTCATTCCGGAGTCATAATTTCCAGATAACAATGAAAGTCGTCAAGACTGTATAGACACTAGGGGACTTTGATTGAAGCGTGAATTGTATAGTGACTTATCCTCCTCTACATCATTGATACGATTCCGAATACCTATTTTTATAGTTTCTAAAAAAATATAATTCATTATCTGCATACTCACAGAAAAAGAGTGAGTAGTGCTATGAGTAGTATAGCGAGGATCCCTTTGAGGCAGGCGTCGTACTTCCTGTCGAACGCGCGCCGCCGCCTGCCCGACTTGCACCAGTAGCAACAGCACCAAAACAACCTGCGCGATAACAACACATTTATTGCGACGTCACCATTCACTTGTAAGAGGAAATAATACTGCGACTCGAATTACATTTGAATTTCAAGATTAGCATTTCTTATTCAACACGATCGATACTGAAATGAAATGAAATGAAATGAAAATATCTTTATTCAAGTAGGCTGTTACAAGCACTTTTGAATCGTCCAAAAAACTTTTTTCCCCTACCACTTGTTCAGGACGTCTTTTAGCTGACAAGAAGAACAAGCGAAAGAAACTTACCAGCTTTTTATCATAAGTAATGAAATGACATTTACATAAATCATGTCATTACCAAAATAATATGTATTATCACAATAGTAAATACAACTTTCAAAGTCTGTAGGACATAGGTTGAACATATAATTAGTCTTTATAGAACAAAGCGAAGGCTATTAATTCCATGCATTGCGATCCTTAAAATAATCATCAACTTTATAATAGCCTTTACTCATAAGTATGTTCTTTACATGAATTTGAAATTTATTTATGGGTAGGTCAATTACTTTTTCTGGAACTTTATTGAACATAGCAATACATTTACCCAGAAATGATCCTCTGGTTTTTTGAAGTCTGAAGCTTGGAACGGCAAGTTTATCTTTATTTCTTGTGTTAAGATTATGAACACTACTTTTTTTTGTGAGGAATCGTAATGTTTTCTTGTGTACATAATATTCTCATGGATGTATTGAGAGGCAACAGTCAGAATATTTATTTCTTTAAATATTTCTCTGAGAGATTCCCTAGACCGTAAATTATATATAGCACGGACAGCTCTTTTGTAAAATAAAAATATCCTGAATGCTAGCCGCAGAACCCCATAACAATATACCATACGTCATTACACTATGAAAATAACTAAAATATACCAATCTTGCCGTTTCAACATTTGTCAAGAGTCTAATTTTCTTAACAGCAAAAGCTGCAGAACTCAGTCTACTTGACAAGCTATCAATATGAGGATCCCATTGCAGTCGGGAATCTAGTGTAATACCAAGGAACTTTGTCGATTCTACTAACTCAACTTTTTCACTATTTACATTTATAAGTGTACTGACATGCCTCACATTAGGTAATGCAAACTTTATGCATTTCGTTTTATTTGAATTGAGCTTTAAATTATTATTATCAAACCACTGTAGAACGTTGTCGAGAGCATTATTTACATCGTCAAAACAATCATTACCCCTCTCAACTTTAAGCAGTAAAGAGGTGTCATCAGCAAATAATACTATCTCGCACAAATTTTTCGCAAAGTGAGGAAGATCATTAATATAAATTAGAAAAAGCAATGGTCCTAATATCGATCCCTGAGGTACGCCCATAGTAACTGGTGCCCCTGCAGATTTCGCTTCATACTAATATACTCGTATTTGTTTCAATCGACAACATCAAATACGCTAAAATATATTATATCCTAGTATTCGGTTTCAAAATGCGTTACAGACAAAGTATAGAATATGATAGCACAACTTAATTCATACTTGGACAAATATAAATAAATCGAGGGTAGACGGACAGCCCCTGAGAGCTTGTCTATTGCAACTCTGCCGCCATAGCGAATGGTAGATCCTGCAAGGTCCCATTCCAACTAAATCTTGAAGAGCGAAAGTGTATACAGCAAAAACTTAGAAAATCAACGCCGTGTGAAGGGCAGGACGATAACAAAATTATCCCAGAACAACGCGGGAGACTTACGACCAGTGGCTTAATACCCTGGGCTATCGAATAAACTAACAGTAAGTACAAACTCCTTTCTGTCCCACACAACAAGTTCAAAAAACTTATATTTTAATATATCATTGGATCTGTATCCAATAAAGATAAGCAAAGGTAGGTATTCATAGGTCGGATACTACTCGGTATATTGGTCATTTCAAACTACATACACACTCTTAGCGAATGAATGACACCCGGTACCTATGCGGTTCGATAAGTACTAAAGATTGCGAAAATAAACACTACCAAGTGTTTTTATGTACAACTTATCAAAATTCTACCAAAATTAAAAAAAGAACTATCTACACTAAAATAGCAGAAATTAACTATTACCAATACTACCACTGATAGCCATTGTGATGAAATTTCAACATGTAGGTTGTTCGAAACCCGAATACTACTCAATGTTAAAAATGTAACGATCCTGAATAAGACATTCATTAAATCTATCCGTGAATGAATCGGACCACTCTCAGCAAGGCATCAAGCCCCATCAGCAAGCGTGCTCACCCCGCCAGAGGCAGCGCCGCGACGAGCAGCGCGGCGAGCACGATCACCGCCGTGGGGCCCGCGTAGTGGGACAGCAGCTCGCGCCAGTGCTCGCGCGGCGACGCCACCTCCACGTGCCCGTCCGATACAGACACTATACCTGCAAACAAACATATAAAGCTCTATAGGTCAAATTTAATTATTGCCACTGAAATATGCTGAACGTGAAAAATATAAAAACACTTCAAGAAGAGATCGGGGCTCGTCCGGGATTTGAACCCGGGACCTCTCGCACCCTAAGCGAAAATCATACCCCTAGACCAACGAGCCAGTTGAGAGACAGTCGAAATTTCTTGTCTAACTTACGTAAAATAACAATTTATCTAGCTATAGGTAAGATATTATCTAATAATAACTACTCGAAAAGCTTTTAATGCTGATGATGGATGACCAATCTTACAAATAATGTTTTTAATCGATCGTTTCTGTTCTTACTGTTAGCCCTAAGTGTGGTCTTGTTAATATTATTATTTATACATAATTATTATGTGTTAAGAACGCACATACAAACTTTCAACGGATTTAGTACTCGTACAAATAAAAACATCTAACTAAATAAACTGTATTTTTATGACAAAAACATATTTTCAATATTTTTTTAAATTCACAATTATTCCATTTCTTGTATAAATATGCGAGTCACAAAATAAAAATAATAACAATAGTTTAGAGTAATTGGGTACCTAACTAAAAACAGTTTTTGTACAATTGCCGGACCCAATGACTGGGACAGTGTTATGCCTTTGCGCCTTTCTTTTATTAATTACAATGGCGCCTACGGGCTGTCAGTATTTAGGATCCTACAAATTAAAATTTATATCAAGCAAAAAGTTGTGACAATAAATAATGGAACAATTTCAGGAAAGTGTTTCACACAAGAATTGCTAGTTGAAAATAATGTTTCGTATAACACGTCTCACCAGCGTCGAGATGGAGGTCGCCCGGCATCCGGGACCGGTTCATCGCCAGTCCCGGTCATTCTGTGACCGTTACTCACACTTTATTCTACATCAACCAGTTTCGCGATACAATTTATCAGCTATTAAACATGATCGAGTTAAGATCATAATAATAATTTATCTTGTTAGAAGCACAGTTACATAACATGTATACTGTGGTATAGGTCGTTTTTTCGAGAGATCAATGACGAAAATAATGTACATCTCATTTATTTATTTATAGAGCGTCAACATAAAAACTGGGGCATGCATGGATATTATATCGTTCATTAGCCAAAATACCGATAATCATCGGGAATTTGATACTTATCCAGGTTAAATAATCAAGTCGCAAGAACCCTTACATTTCAAACTCTCATCATATTGTTCCATTTAATTCTCTAACAATAACGTCTTAATTTTTATATTGCTAAATTTTACATTAAAGCATAAATAAAACCATACCAAATATTATAATAGAAAAATTGATTGAAAAATTGGTTTATATTTATTGAAAGTTAAATATTTGTAAAAACATTTCTTCCGGCTTTTTGGGTGGATGTTCAGGCAAACATCGATGAAAATACGCTCTTTTCTAGCGAAAAAGCAACAAGTCTTGAAAAAATCGTCAGTCCTGTTAGGTCCTGGGTAGTTCATTGGTTAGAGCAGTCGCCTGGATTGTGAAAAAAGTGTATTTTTTAAGTATTTTTCATTAAGAATAATATTCAAAATTTAGAGTAACTAAATACGTAGTGTCCTGTAATCTACTCGAAATATTCCATTTAGAGTAGAAAAGCTTCATATTTTTCCAAAAAAATATCTTATTTTCGTATAAATTGACCTAGGAACACCTTATTTATTGCCGTGGACGTTTATAAGAATTATATTTCGAAAAAAAAAAAGTTTTTCTGCTCTGAACAACAATTTTGGTTTTGCAGCTTACTACGTGTTTGCTTTCCAGCGTCGATGTGTATGTAGCTCACTAAAAACGACTATGACCCATTGCTATACATACGATATATGCTAAACGAGCGAGTGTTGATTAAATCCAATAGTTAGAGGAGCCAACACGAGTCATATTATAAGCGATACCCACATAAAGGTTATATCGGTACCGAAGCTTCTTCAATTGCTACTCATCATGTTAGCAAACTAATTTTAATAGCCCTTACTGCAGTCACCGACCGAAAGTGAACTCTACTAGTCATTGATAGTGTGTCCATTCGAGTGAGCTGTGGTGCGGGCAGACAAAGTGCTGGCCCGTTTGGTTTATTGTCTCCGAGCGGACGGACCGAGCGTAACTGCTCAAATTGATCAATTGCCATCTGTGTGCTCCACTTTCAGCACCACACTATAATAAAATAAGCTTAGAGATCGTTCGCGTCGTAAAGGGCACTCATGTTATACTATTAAAACAAAACGGCTCTACTCATCAGAAGGAATAATGATGACAGAAGCCTGTCAAGAAAATCGTTTTTGTTATATTTAGCTGAATACCGAATACTTTAGTTAGATTGCTTGAATCATAAAACTCATTAGAAAAGATAGTACACAATCATCTTCTGTATTACAAAATTTAACGATTTTTTTATGCATTTAAATTATTGTCGTAATCAAAGTTTAGAAGCGAAAGGAATGTTATGGTGTAGAAAGATATTAAATCTTCCTTTCTGCATTTTTAAAAAGTTTTTTTCTTTTTTTTCTCAGACTAATGCAACTTCAGAGAAAAGACGCACTGAATAAACACAACTTCCTGACGCCGATAAATATTCTGCTGCAACCCTGGTCAAAAATGGTAATTTATGTTTGTTGCTCGCCACCACGTATACGGATTGCCATGTCGTGATATGTTATTGATACTTTAAAAAAGATCCATTTCTGTCGCAACTGCATTTTGTCTTTTGATACGAGTTTTGGCGCCACATACAGGCCGTATACTTGTTTCTAATAGGAAAGTCGAAGTCAAAATAATCTTTATTCAAATAGACTTCTTAAAAGTACTTTTGAATCGTCCAAAATTTTTTTCCCTACCACTCGTTCAGGGCGTCTTTTGGCTGATAAGAAGAACGAGCAACAAACTCACCAGCTCTAATAAGACTAACGACATTTACAAAAACCATGTCATTACCAGAAGTCAAAGTCAAAGTCAAAATAATCTTTATTAAAATAGACTTCTTAAAAGTACTTTTGAATCGTCCAACATCATTACCATATCAATACATTATAAATAAAGAGAGAAAAAAAAAATAAACTATGATCTTATAATGATAACATAATCATTTAATAATAATGGAAGCAAGATAATTTTTTATATATAACGAGTTAAGAAGTAATCACCTATCCAGTTGCTGGATCATCTCAAGTCCAAGCGTTCTCATCTGTTATTTAATCGGATACCTTATAGTCAGCCAGTTGCACAAACGTGCATTAAAATTTTCATGAGTTTAAAGTGACATTACCGATACAAATTTGACATTCATTAGAGCTTAAAGCCGTCATTAAGCCTTAATGGACGTTTGTGCAACTCACCGAGTAACCTTTTTTAATAAGTATTATTTTAATAGTAGATTTAAACTGCATGATATCTAATTGTTGTATTTTGCTTGGGACCTTATTGTAGAAGCGCACACAAAGACCCCTGAATAAGTTATTAACTTTTTGTAGTCTAGTGACAGGCACCGTTAATTTATTTTTATTTCTTGTATTAATATTGTGTACATTACTTTTTATAGAAAACAAACTAATATTTTTACGAACGTACATTAAGTTCTCGTATATGTATTGAGAAGCAGCAGTCATTATGCCTATTTCCTTAAATTTCTCCCTTAAAGAGTACCAGATCAATACATTATTCGGTTATTAGGCCAGGAAGCTCGCCGAATATTCGGAATTCGATTAATGGCCGAATATGCTATTCATCGCTAGTCTATAATAGATACATTATCTACTATTTACATGTGAGTATAATATAATACGTACAAATTCTCCTGTTGGTAATCAAACAATCCAATAACAAGTATAACTATGTATTCAATAATTCGCATATAACCCTAACACTAACAACAACAAACCGTCAACTAGTGCGCTTTGCTTATGTCTGCCCACACGGGAACGGTAATCCTATTAATATTATAAAGGCGAAAGTTTGTAAGTATGGATGTATGGATGTTTGTTACTCTTTCACGAAAAAACTACTGGACGGATTTGGATAAAACTTTACAGCAATATAGGTTATACATCAGAATAACACATAGGGTACTTTTTACTGGGAAAACTTCTCACTCCCACGGGATACCGACTTCCACGCGGACGAAGTCGCGGGCGTCCACTAGTAATACATACGTTCGCTGGCCGCGCGTTACGTCATCACGCGCCGCCGGCGCCGCCGCGTCACCGTATTCACGATTTCGGCTGTCTCTCAACTGGCTCGTTGGTCTAGGGGTATGATTTTCGCTTAGGGTGCGAGAGGTCCCGGGTTCAAATCCCGGACGAGCCCGATCTCTTTTGAAGTTCTTTTTTATATTTTGCATGTACAGCATAATAATAATTATTCTCATTTTAAAACCGAATAAACTACGGATTGTAATATAATTTGTAAGAAATAAAATTATTTTACAATGTTTTTACATTGATCAAACGAACATGTGTAATAGCGAAATGATTTAATATTTTACTATTTATACTAAAAAAAATTTAAAAAAGAGTATAGTAATCTTTCTAGATAAGATCACACTTTAAATAAACATTTACTCATCGAATACAAACAATTCTAAAGCAATGATTTAATTGTAAACAGATTGTTTGATATTTTTCAATAGAATTCTAAATTGCTGTATTGTACATATACACATACGAGGTCACTATATTTTATACACATTATATTTGGGAACACGTAAACAACATTAGCATAGCAAATGTCGGTGGTTAGAGGCAATTAGTTGACTTCCTCGGATCGCGTCAGTACAAGGTAACCTACAACATGCATCTTCAAACTAGAGAAAAATAATAGCATTTTTATTTAATCTATCTAAAACTTTTGAAATCAATGAAAATACCTATATAGGAAATTAAAAGTTCGTTTGTCTCTCATATGGCTATTATATCACAATAGCTAGACAGTTGTCGCAGATTTAATTGATGCTGCTTTAACAAGGATTCTAAA